CTTTCTTCCTGACTCTAGGCCAATAATGCACTAATCCCAACCAAGAAGAAAAAGCATGTCCTGTTTCCTTGGCTGCCCTGTGGTAATGACCCCTCTGCCTTGTGACTCTTCCCTGCAACCCAGGCCTCTCTGACGAAGGTGGACCCAGAACGGAAGGAGTGCCAAAGGCCAAATCAAAAGCCCGGAAGCGGTTAGAAGAAAGCCAAGGAGGCCCCAAGCCAGGCACAGTGAGATCAAGTAGCAGTGACAGGTAAAGAGGGGGAGAGGCCCTGCTCAAGGTGTCAGCCATGTGAGTCACAGCAGTACCCCGGAGGCCTTTCTGCTGACTGATGACAGCACAGGCTGGCCTCTCTGACTAGCCACGATGGGAGGTCAGCATCCAGCTCTTCTCTGAGGATCCCCTGAGAGCATAGCCTGCTGATGTGAGGGTAGCCAAATAGCAGCCTCACTAGCAATCGTTAAACTATATTAAAATATATTACAACTGTTGTTCCTTGTCATATTGACAGATTTTATTTTCCCATTTTTTGCCATGGGGCATGTGTGCATACAGGATAGAGACAGAGACAGAGAGAAAAAGTGAGAAATCACTCCCTAGTGGGGATGGCCACAATGCAATCCCTTCTCCATTTTCCTGTCATGATTTTGGGCATGCACACACACATGCCTGTCATCATTTTCAAGCTGCCGAGTTTGGGATTCAAACTATAGTTGGTTAGGTGGGAGTCCAGCGCCTTAACCACCATACCACCTGCTAGCCCAATAGATTTTTTTTAAACAATGGCCAGCAGGTGGCGTGGTGGTTTGTTAAGGTACTGGACACTCCCACATGGCCAACCACGGTTCGAGTCCCAGACCTGGTGGCTTACTTTCTCACTTTCCTTCTCTCTGTTTGTCTGTTTTCTTTGCTCAAATGAAAATGAATAAATGAATAAATAAAATTAAATAATTATTTTTAAAAATTGTGAAAGTGCAGGGAAATAGGCACTGTCCAGTACTGTTGGCATATAAGCCATACAGCCTTGCTGAGGGGCAGTTCAGTCTCTTACCAGTATTTCCTGCACCACACTGATTTATCCCATAATATCTCCTGTTGTCCTTCAGCATCAGGCTTGGTCTGGTGTGGAGTATCAATGGAAATAACCAAGCTCTATAAAAAGGTCTGAAAAGGTTTATTCATCGCCAGAGTATGAGTGACCACTGGCCTGCGAACACAATCTCTGCTAGCCATGATAAAGTGCTCCAGGAGCTTAGACACAGAAGCTCTTTCATTCAGTTCTCAGAGCAGGAGATAGAAGGGAAGCTGTCAGTCAACACATGGAGTTTTCATACTGGCCTGGCCTGAAAAGGAAGAACATCTAGACGCATGGGCTTACAGATTGTAGGTGGGTTTAGAAATTATTGGGTTAATAATTGGTTAAAAGCACAAGCCTTTGCCTCAGAAAGAGTCAGTCAGCAAAAAAGAATGTCTGGGCTTAACTTCAGCAGAAATAAGGCAGCTTGCCCTACATTCACGTGACCTGTGTCAGGGTCAGGGTGTAGGGAGCGTCTCACAGTCACTGGACCGAAGCAGTCTGCCTTAGCAAGATTCACTTCCTGTTAACTGCCACAGCCCTTGCCAACCCTCTAGGAAAACTTTAGAACAAAAGAAAGTGGTCTGTTTCAGTCCTCAGTAAGGTAAGGAGGTGGATATTCAAGCCTGCTTCACTCTCCAATACACGTTCAGTCCCCTGACACCAAGCTGGATGTTGGAGATGGAGATGACCAGCCCCACCTGTGCCTCTGGAGGTTCACAGGCCAGTGGGGAAGGCCAGCGAGGGCCCAGACAGTTACTGCAATCCAGAGTGGCAGGTGATGCTGAGGAAGTGGGGAGCCTGGGGCCAGTAGGTGACATGGAGTTTAAGGCAACTGGATCCTACCTGGCTGACCACAGTTCGAATCCTGGGTCCAGCAGCTTGAAAAATCACACTGGGCACGTGTGCATGCATGCCCAAAATCCCAAGTGGAGAGTGGAGGATAGGGATTGTCACAACCCTAGGGGGAATGATTTCTCACTTTCCCTCTCTCTTTATTTATGATTTCTGTCTCACTCAGTGAGTTCATGTACCATATAGCAAAAACTAAAAAAAAAAAGTGGGGAGTCATCCACCCACCTTAGACCTGGTCCCAGGAGCAGCATTCACTCTTGCCTTAATGCAAGGGCCTACCCTCAGGGACTTTACACTTTACACCTTCTAGTGTGAAGAAACAGACAATAAAACTATGAACCCATAACCTAACTAAATCATTTCAATAGTGACAGTACTATTAAGACATTTAAAAGAGGGTGAGTGGTGGAGTGCCAGATAGTGGTCAAATGAGAGAGGGATCAGGGAAGGCTTTTTGACGAAATGGCATTGAGCTGGGGCAACAGCCTCTCTGACAGCAGGGACCAGCCTCTGGGACCACAAGATTTCAAAAGCCCTGAAGCAGGCATAGCATGGCC